CGTTTTCTTTCTTTGATGATTTAATGAAACGTAAAAGCTTCCGCGCTTCGCGTGGGAGGGGGGAAACTGAATTTAGACAAGGATTAAAAGTCATAACGGAACAACGAATCGTCTTGTTTCGCTAATGATTTAATGAAACGTAAAAACTGTATTCAGATGAGGATTAAGAGTCGAGAACGGTACAACGAATCGTCTTCTTTCTCTAATGATTTAATGAAACGTAAAAGCTTCCGAGCTTTGCGCGGGAGAGGGGGGTGAATTAAGACGAGGATTAAGAGTAAAAAACTGTACAACGAATCGTCTTCTTTTTCTAATGATTTAATGAAACGTAAAAGCTTCCGCGCTTCGCGCGGGAGGGGAAAAACTATTTTCAGACGAGTAGGCACGTACGGAAGGGGGGGGAGGGGGTTAGGGGGTTGACCCTCCCCCCTTCGGTTTTTTATCTGTGATTTTTTTTTATTTATTTTTTTTATTAAAATTAAAATTAAAAAAAATATGCCAATGGCTGACCTAAAAAAGGTGACCTCACCCCTCCCCCAACGGAACAAAATGTCAATTTTTCAAATTTCGAGACACCCCCCCCCCCCCCCCCCCCCCCAAAAAAAAGTGTCCTCTTCCTCCCCCCCCCCCCCCCCCCCCCCCCCCCGGCTGAGTCATTTTTTTTCGGACCAAAAAAAAAAAAAGTGGGCCCCCCCCCCTAAGAAATCCTGGATCCGCGCCTGCCTAAATGCCCTAAGCTTGACTGCTTATCTGACCGTAATTAAATGCCTAAAACCCCTGAGCTGCGTGGGGCTCCGCCCCTTGGCCCCCGCACAGGCTTTTCCCCTGGACCCCCAGGCCAAGTTACGCTCCACTTGCTTCGTTCTACCTGATCGCAAATACTTCACCCCCCCCCCCCCCCCTCTTTGAAAAAAACGTTACGCGGGGCCTGCATGACGCTGATGCGGGTTTTTTTTTCTGCCTCCCCCAAACATTTTTGCTCATTACGCCACTGCCTGTCAGGGTGATGTATGTCAATTTTATTTTTAGATGACCTAGATTATAATATGCTATTCATTGTACATTTTGGGATGTGCCCAACGGAAGAATGCGCTTTCAAAAGAGAAAGAAAAAAATTAATGATATTCGTACACACCACATTAAACGGGAGAGTTATTCGTATCCTACTAGCCTATACGTCACAATCTGAATCTGAATCCGAATCTGAAAATAATATACGTCCGGCTCAGGGGCGTATAGACAACGGGGGGATGAGGGGGATGCATCCCCCCACCTCACAAGGTGGGGGGATGGCATGTACAATCATCCCCCCCCCCCCCAGGTTTTGGGGAATGATATTTGCTTACTTAATGAGTCATAATGACGATAATAATAGTAATAATAATAATGATAACAATTATTATAATATTAATAATAATAATAATTATGATGATGATAATAATAATCCTCATATCATTATTGTAATTGTGTTTATTGTTATTAGCCGCATTCACACGGTGAAAGCCAATTCAGACGGTAAAAAAAAGAAAATCTTACAAGTATTTTGTGGTTATCTTGTGGTTTGGAAACCACAAGATAACCACAAGATTAAACAGGCGCGGATCTACGGGGCGGCCCAAAAAACAAACAAACAAAAAAAAGGGGAAAAAAGAAGAAAAAAAAAAAAGAAAGAAAAAAGAACGCACGCTGGAGAGAAACCCTTTCAAGTGCAAATATTGTGAGAAGATATTCAACTCATCTGGTAACTTAACCAAACACATGATAACTCTGGATATAACTGTGTATTTAACTGTTACTTGATTTAAAAAGACGTTATCATGCACTGCTTTTTATGGTCTCCATTGTGTTAATAGATGCCAGGAAAACATCACTTACGGGGTTCAAATAAACACCAAAAAAAAAATCGGCTCGCCGCTTCGCGGCTCGTGGACGATGCTCTGCATCGTCATTATTTTGGTAAACCCCCCCCTTAGCAAAAAGCTAGATCCGCCCCTGAGTCATCCCCCCAGGTGTACGAACCTGTCTACGCCACTGGTCCGGCTCGATCCTGAAGGAGTGGTGGAGTACGTGAAACGAGTCATAGACCAAATTGCCTATTTTATAGAGTTAGTGATGGCATATTTCAAACATTCCTTACTCTCTTATATCGTTAGTCCGATTTATTTAAACATTCGCCATTCTGTTTCTCTTTTTTTGTAATGCTCGTCAACATTTCTTTCTCCCTTATGGGATATGCTGGCTATTACAGATAAACTTGAGTTCTGGTAATGCGATTGCATTGTGAAAGAAAAGGTGTGGAATGGATCAGGAAAGTTGATCATATAGCATGTAAGTAATGGTGTGTAATGCAAGGTTCTGGAGTCATCACCAGTCATCATAAATTTGGCAGAGTCTTGGTAAAGTAACAATCATTTACACAGAAAGATGTATATGGGACAACACACATGGTGTCGGGGCTAGTACTACCCTGGTTTCCTTATCTTTCTATGCTCATTACTCAGCCAGTATACATGTTCCTCCAAAATTGTTTGGCACATGACATTTATTTGTAATCTTGAACATTTAGTGTAAGTTTCGTTAGATTCTGTGAGAATTCATTTTCTTTTTTTTTACCAGAACTCAAGTTTATCTTTAACTGTGGTCATTGGTTTAATTTAAAGGCCATGTAAGGGCTAATGAGGATAATGATGGTGAGGATAATAATAATAACAATCATAACAGTAACAATAATATTATTATTTAAGTAGCCCAACCGGCCGGCCCCATCCATGGTCTATAATTAGAAATGCAAGTTTAGCGCACCCAGACTGGGGTCTTTTTGTATGCTAAAGAGATAGATACATTGTTTTGTTCAGGTCAAAGTGAAAGTGGTATAAAACACACAATTCATTTATGCGGGTAAATGAAGACCAGACGCTCCCGGGGAGCAGGGGGGGGGGGGGGCACACAATGCCCCCCACTTTTTCAAGTACGCAACAAAGTGCCCGTTTAATTTGGTAAGAATTGCCCCTTTTTACATAGGAAAAGTGCCCTTTTACTTTGACAAGTGCCCCTGTTAAATTTTAAAAGTGCCCCTACCCCTTTCCACCTCTAAAAAATGCCCTTTTTTAAAAGGTACCCCTTTTCTTTGACAATTTCACATTTTCCTTTGCAATAAGTGTCCATTTTTCATTCTCATAAATGCCTTTCTTAATCTATAGTAAGTTCCTCTTTTCAGGTACAAGAAGCACCCCTTCTTTTGATACGCGCCCCTTCACCTCTGATAATTGCCCTATTCAAATCTGAGAGGTTCCCTTTTTGCTTTGACAATTTAGCTTTTTCCTTTGTAAAAAATGCCCCTTCCCCTTGTAAACTCCGATAAGCGCACCTTAATTTGTGCCCCCTTTAATTCTCATAAGTGCCCTTTTTCATCTCTTGTAAATTACCCTATTCAATTCTGAGAGATGCTCGTTTTGCTTTGACAAGTGCCCCTTTCACTCCTGATAAATGCTCTTTTCATCTTAAATAAACGCTCCTTTTATTTTGACACGTCCCCTAAATGCTCGTTTTCCTTCTTATAAGTGCCCCTTTCATCTTTGATTAGTGCCCCGTTTATTTTTTTAACATGTGCCTCTTTTCTTTTTAATAAGCGCCACTCCCCCTTCTCATGAAATCCACCTTTCCCCACCGATAAATGCCCCTATTAAAATTTAATCAGTTCCCCTTTTCTCTAAAAAATGCACATTTCCTATATCATTAGTCCCCGTTTTTCATTCTCATAAGTGCCCCTTTTTCACCTCAGATAATTACCTTTTTAAACATGATATGTGCCCCTTTTTCTTTTATAATAAGGAGCATATCCCTTTTTCATGAATGCCCCTTTTCACTTCTTATAAATACCCTTATCACAATCTGATGGGTGCCTCTTTTCCGTCGACAAATGCCATTTCCCATTCTTATAAAATCCCGTTTCATCACTGGTGCGTGGCTCTTCTTTTAGGTGTAAGAAGTGCCCCATTTTTACCTCTAATAATTAGCCTTTGTACTTCGACACGTGCTCCTTTTCTTTTCTAATAAATGTTTTAACCTTTTCGATAAGTGTCCCCTTTTCCTCTCATCTTTAAACGTGCCCCTAATTTCAAGCGACTAATAGCAATTTCCCCCAAAGCACGCTCGATCACTACGCTCGCTCGTAGTTATAGCCTATAATGATGTAACTTATTATCAATTAAAGGTCTTTTTAGTCTTCCATTTTGAGAATGTTATATATAACCCCATCAGGATTGGGTTTTTCCCTCTTTATAAGATGTAATTTTTCTCTCTACGACCTCACAAATCTTAACAATTTTCAGACCATCATACCCAACTGCAAAGTATGATGCTTAATCAATATCTTATATGATGTAAAAAGAGAAACACATATTGAAATGCACCCCTCCCTCATAATGTAATCACAATATAGGGGTATATACCAACGTCTAAAAATTGTATATTTTCGCTTTGAGGATTTCCCTTTAAAGGTGCCCCTTTTTCCCAGAAGGTGCCCTTTTTTTGTTGCCCCCCCCCCCCACACACACACACCTTAGAAGTCGCTCCGGAGATTGATTGTAAGATTTTATTGACTCTATAATTGACCCCCTCTCGGGGTCTGAGAGTGAAAACATATTTACAACACAGTTTCAATATAAGTTGATAAACATCTGATAATATGAACAATGATAACCATGTGGTGATATGAAGTTATGAACAAGGACAAACATATGATAATCATATTGAGAGTTTGGACTTTGCTTATCCTCCTATCTCGCCTCCTCAGTCAGATCCGAGCTCCCGTTCCTTTACGCCGCCCGCATCATCTTGCTCGATTGAGCCCTTTGAGAAAGTAGACCGACTTTAACGATCTGTGCTTCTATTAAACACGTATTCACAGTTTGCCGTCTATTATTTACACAACTCATTCAACGTTTGGTGCAAGCTGGGCCATTGCTATGGCATTTGCGTGTAAATAAATTTCTGTGTGTGTTTTTTCGTGCGAAGCTAGCTAGCTAGCTAGCTAGTTATTGTACGTGGAGTGAATTAGCGTCGCGATCGAAGCCCACATCCACATTCCCTGACAAGAATGGTGTTATTGGTAAGTTTTGTTCAAATTTAGTTTAATTGTATCACTTATGAATACAGAATTCAAAGCCCTATGACAATAACTCTATGTATCAGTAAATCAGAAAGAATTTTGCAATAGACGTAGATCTAGGTCTAGATATCATTTGTTGATGATCGGAATTCGTTGACATTGAATTGATTGTGGATTGTGATTGTCATTGATTCTGCAGTTCTGTGACCAGTTTGTGTGTATGAAGGGGTGACCACCAAAGTTCGCGGAGATTTTGACAATATTATAAAATGTGATATTCGATCTATGATTTCTCATATTCTTCATAATTTGATTCATAATCATATCAGAGATGCCAAGTTCGAAGATGAGCTGTGCGTGACATTTTCATGACTCGGTGCGAGGGCGTAGCGTATGAAGGGGTGACCAAAGTTTGCAGACATTTCATGATTTTAGAACATAGGCTATTAGTCCAAAATGTGATATTCGATTCATGATTTCTCATATTCTACACAAATTTATTTGCTTCAATTACTACCAAATGGACGGCAAAGTTTTTTACTACAGATTGGTCCAACTATTGAACTAGAAAATTTATCGTCAAAGGATTTCAGAGATAGCCCCACCTGCGATCTAAACATTTGATGTCCGAACGTGCGTGCGCGCTGCATCTAAAAAAGTCATCAAATTAAAAACACAGGACCTAATTTCATGCACGAAGTTTACAGTTGATTTATCCAAAAATGTGATCCATCAAAAATAATTTGCAAGGCAAGATATCATTCATACAATCAGTTGGTACCACTACCATTTCTTACTTACAATTTTGAGGAAATCTGCTCTCAAATTGAAGACTTTCAGACCCTTATCGGTAAGTTGATAATTTTTCGGGACAGATGCAAAAGATTTCACAATTTGCTGATCTTTTGTCAAAATCTTCACAATTTCATACCCAATCCAAAGAAAATTTCATTTCTGGGTAATTTTATGTTCCTCCTTCCATTGATGATATCAGATTTTCGAAATCTTACTGATTTTTTGAGATAGCGAACTTAGGCCACGCGCAAACTTTGGTCACACCACCATACGTAGACGTACAATGTAGGCCTAGACTAGATCACTCTAGTCTACATGTACATGTATAGCACGCTATTAGCGTAGGCTTAGAGACTATATCATACTCATAGTCTATGTTTCAAAATCACGCGCGCACATGAAGCGACGTGATAGCCGGCCTGCATGCATGCTACATGTACATACATGTGATATACTACGTACACTAACCCCACAAGGAGCTACATGTAGCTGAGGCCTCGAGGCGGTCGGCCAGTACGTAGTCTTAGTCTAGCAATTACTAGTTTTTTCCCCAGTCTGGCCCTGAAGCGTGACAAAAGTGGGTGCCATGCTAGACAGAAAAAACCGTCTGGTATGGGTCATTTCTTTAATTAAACTGACATTTGTTGACATTCCCCATACACAGACGGTATCCCAGACGAATCGCACCGTGCGGATAATCTAGAGCCGAAGCGGAACCTCTTTTAGGTCCCCAAATTTTTTCCCCAGATTTTCTTTATTTAGATCCTAGAGTAAAGGAGGGGGTTTTCGGCCGTCGGCACTTTTCCGTCGGTCCGTTGGATGCATGATAAAATCCCTTTAAAATACATTGCATAATATAGCATATCACATATCCCACACATACCATAACATGCAAGAGTCACTGAAGAACCACATTTGCAATGGAAAATATATCCTTCAATATCACATTTTAGCGATGTAATCAGCGGTCCCGCTACCCAAACTAAAGCCTAAACCTAAATAACGTGTACACTGTAATATCAAAATATTTACAGGTCATCAATAATGATTGGTACACAACAAAAAATATATACAAAATTAAAAAGTGCCAAGAAATACAAGATATTTTTTAATCATGAACATAATATAATGCGCAAAACGAAGCCACAGAGAAAAAAAAAAATAGAATACTGTTTATTAAAATGGGGAGTCCCCCTAGCTGCCAAGATAAAAAAACTAAAGCCTTTCTTAATCTTAGTAACTAACAATCTTAGTCTTAATTACAACTCAATACAACTTACAGTACAAGACTTTAGAATTTACTAAACGGCTACCAGTACATACTGTATGTACATGTACATACAGTATGTACATGTATATAATACACTACTTTACCATGTTTACGCATGTTGAGTTACATACACATGTAGATGCCATGCCTGGAGGCTGGATATGTTATTTCAATTAAGGTAAAAATCTAAAGTAAAGTAAAGAAAGTCTAATCAGTCGACACTTGCAATTTAGTCTATTCTGAACATCAAATATTGCAGTAAAATTGTAATTCATCTTGTATTTGTATTTTCTGTTTACACAGATGTTGCATCGATCAACGCACCAACCATCAAGGTAACGATTAGAGCACGAGAAAGAGAGAGGGAACATCAATAGAGAGAGATCTGTAGTACAGCACATCTGTTACAGTCACCAAGGCATTTCATTCTGTCCCTACACAGAACCTCAGTCAACAAAGTACAGTTTGGTATGGTGTCAGCTGTCTCAATCCCACACTGTCGCTGTGCAGTAAACACTAGCACCAAACCAAGTTTGCATTGCCATTTACCACGTTCATGGTTGACGACCGTCCATTAGGCAGAACACAGAGAGAGAGAGAGAGAGAGAGATTACACCTACACGTTCGTGAATCAACCCTGCATCACGCACATCATATACAGCAAGAAGGGAATATGTTTGATAATTGTTTACCACAATTGTGATAGCGAAGCCTGCATTATATACAACAAGAAGGAGTACATTTTAATTCATTTGATTTCGAGGAGCTGTGCAATATCATAAGCCCTCGACTCTTCACATGCCATTCCCCACTATGGCCTTCTGCAATGCATCTATCAGCAAAGGTGACCAGAGGACTTGTACAGTGCCACACTGCTAGGTGCGCATGCCATGACATTAAGAAATAAACAAACAATATCCGAAGAAAACGCTTGTCATTAGAACTCTTTGCTAGTTCCAAAGTGGACTGGTCATTTAGAACTCCAAGATGAATCAGTACCAGGTTACGAAGCAGCTGGGAGACGGAACGTACGGGAGCGTGATTCTCGGCTGCAGGTTCGATAATGGGGAGAAAGTCGCTATCAAAAAGTAAGTTCAGAATTAACATGCAATGTACTCCACATGTATTTGAAACTTTGTACATGTACATGTACATGTACATATCTACATGTACATTGTATCTAAACAAAGGAAATATGTTTAGACTACTTCATGTACATGTACTGAACAGTGTACATGTACTGTACAGTTGGTCATAGAGGTACAACCGTACATGTACCGGTTTGAACATTCTAACTTGATGAAATGCACAATGAACATGTGCATGACTATTTATAAAATCAGTGGAATTTTTTTTAATTCAATGTAATGATATTAATAGAAACATTTGTCTAAAATTATTATACAGCTGAAAAGTAAGAGAAAAACAATTGATTTGATTGATTTGATTTGATTTTATTTCTGCATTTTTTCCATATAAAATATAACTGAATAACAAAGAACATATAAATGTAAGGTATAATACAACATAAACAAACAATAATTTCTTCATGTCAAAATGTTTTTTACATAATATATGTACACTGTACATACAGTATGATAACAAAACTTAATATTTCTATAACATATAATCATAAATTTAAAGTATTATCCGAACTTTTCTATTGGAAAAGTGCAGGAGACCATGTAGATGGAAGTTAAAATTCATATTACAATGTATTTGAAATTCTTATTCAAAGAAACATCTGCTAAAATGTACATGTGTGTTTACATGTACTAGTATATTTTATGCACAATTTTGTTCCTTCTCTTTTAAATATCGAAATTTAACCTTTGCCCTGTAGGAATATCTGTTTAGTACATGTAGTTCTCTCAGACTTAACAAGTATTACATGTAGCATCAAGAAAAACATTCTGAGCTTTATTAATGAAATTTGTATTCTTCACTACAATGTACAAAGAAGAAGAAAGAAATATGACAGAGTGCATAAAGAGAACAAAACAAAAATCTACATATCCTGTACATGTAGAAAAATCGGCTAAATTTGGTTAATAATACTGTACATGTGTATACATGACAAATTTTACAAATACTACATGTACAGTGTACTGTAGCTAAACTTTTTCTTTCATGCATGGGAACATAGTGATCAGTGCTTTCAGTTTTAGTAAGCAATTATGAACCCTGGCCTGAAAAGTCTAGCAAGGCAATATTAATTACATTTAAAATTCTATTTACATGTACCGGTACATGTACAAAGTACATGTGCTGTCTAAAGCCACAAAGCTTTACACTCAATATGCTTGATTTGAGCCAGTCAAAGGGAAATATTGGTGTTGTGGTTGAAATCTGGTTACCACGGGAACGGGACGCTGTCTGCACAATAGACGGATCATTTCCGCGCTATTGTGCTGATGGTTCATAATTGCTTTTCAGTGTACCGGTACTCGGCTCGTATACTGTACATGCTGTGTACAGTATGCTTAAAAAGTAAAAATCCTTATGGAAGGCTTAGCAACAGAGTCCTGGAGTCCTAATGCAATTAATATATTATCCATTATCCATTATCTCAAACAACGTGTCATCACCATGGTATTTTGCCTTATAAATGAAATTATCTATTTCTTTGAAATCTTGCTTTCTGAAGAGGATTCCAGTTATTCCCATCTTTGAATTTTAACTTTCTTCATATTCTTATTGTTTGTAGGATGAAAAAGAAGTTCTATTCCTGGAATGAATGCATGGAGTTGAGAGAAGTAAAGGTAAGCAACCGATACATGACAAAGAACGGGAAAAAAAACCAATATAATATCAAATGAGGGCTTTATTTCACATTAATAAGAGTTGACTGTGCACAATGTGTCATGAATCACACTGTTAATGGCATGTATTTTAGTGAGCACCTGTGACTATATTTTTCGCAAAACAAACAAAGGCTTGTAGTACATTTGAGTCTTTATTGAACACATCTCACTTGTCTTTTCATACGAGCTCTGAATCCTACACTTCAACTCAAGTACATTGTAGAGAGCTTTTATTTATTCAATCTCTTCTCTAGTTGAAGTGCAGTCAGTCTGTTTTTGCACGAGAAAAGGCCTTTAGTTCAGAGCACTTGTATTACCTGTAGATGAAATAATGAAATGAAGGAGAAAAAAATGAATGCTGTGCACTCTACTCAATAATCTGTGTGTGCTATACAGTACGTATGCCAATTATTGAGTGATCAAAAGAACAAGAACACTGTCACTAAAGGAAAAGGAAGATAAATCTGACCATCTGAACAGAACAATGTAAAAATGGGAGAAAAAAAAATGAGAAAAAAAAATTGTATATAACAAAGCTGAAAAACATAGAATACACTTTAAATTCAGAGATGCTTACATTGTACATGCATCACATGTTTATCATTGCGGAATAAGCCATGTGTGGAATGAATAGTGACAAGGGTATGCTACTTATTAGACTGTATAATGCTTGGCATTCTTGCACGAGCTCATCCTTTGTTACCTAGCAACAGTAATCAATGCAGACCGTGTATCAATGTGTATCCTAGACTGCCCCTCAATACGAAGCTATCCGTTCTGCTTGTCTATTTGAACACTGTCTAGATATGTGTGTATGGCGCCGTACAAGAGATTAAAATCATGATCAACCCCCTTCAGACACAGTACTGTTAACTGTCTAAACTGCTAAATCGTAGAGTACTGTAAAAGGGCATACATTTAAGAGAAAGTGTAGTTTACATAAGTTGTAAATGTAGAGTACAATGTACACATGTACAGTATTATGCTATAGTCACAAAGGTTTTTACGAACACTAATTTCGTACAAATCTCCCTATTTTTCCATTGTCTTCCTGAATTTCCATTGTCTGAAAATCAATTGTACGGCGTTCGTAGCAGTTCGTAATGGCATTTGTGACCGAGGCTTCAACAAAAAAAGAAAAGGAAAAGAAGAAGCTGCCTGAGTATACACCTGTACCTGTAGTCCAGTCATGTCAAATCATGTACATTGTACTGTATGTTGGTCTTACATGTAGTTTGTTGCACCCAGCTTTTTTTCTTTTTGTCTATTGAATTCTTGAAATCACTGTAGGGCCTTTGTTGAACACTTTTAGATGTACACATGTTTGTAAGCTTTAATATGTCACATTCTCAATAGTATATACATTGTACGTTGGGACAAATCAATTGTTAACTGTGTTTAAAAAATGACAAAACTCAATATGGGTATGAAAAATTTAGTTGTTACCGGTAACTGTAAAAGTGAACAAGCAATATATCCTTAACATGTACACTGTACATTTTACAGCACATGTACAGTATGTATATCAGGACAAATCAACATTTAGGCAATGAGTGATCTTTTGTGTTATTCATTCAAAGTCCTCTAATAATCTTTGGCAAGACATTAATCTACAAAGTACCTTTGCCAGTTGCCACACTCCACCCAGGTACATGTGTACCTGGCAGAAATTAATTCCCTGAAATGCTAGAGCCCCGCAACGGCAGCCATGCTAAAGCCAGGGTAATAAATGTGGAGCTCCGCCAGGAGTGTCAAGTCTGACAGATATTGGCGCTATACAAGAACGCATTATTATTATTCTTATGCTTACATACATTTATTTTTCTTGCAGTCTCTGAAAAAGCTGAACCATGCCAACATAGTTAAGCTGAAGGAAGTCATACGAGAAGACAACATTCTTTATTTTGTGTTTGAGTACATGACAGAGAATCTCTATGAACTCATGAAAGGAAGGTAAGTTTATCCAAATCTGTTTTTTGTTGCAAATCTCATACTTGTGCTTACAAGTATGATATTGATATGCTTGATATTGTTCATGTTTTTGTTGCATTACAAGTACAAGTACATGTTGACATATCGTACATGTACATGTACTTACATGTATAATGTGTTAAACTTAAATTGGGAGTCACTTTTCATTACACGTACATGTAGCATTGTTTTTGTTGTCGTTTTGGTTTTTGCTTCTTTTTTAAAGATTAATTTTGAAGTTCATAGTGGAACATGGGGCAGATGAAAATTTTGACCTCATTTGCATGAAATGTTATTTTTTCAAGGGTCTATGATACACACAAAACTATGTACCCTCTATATACAGTGCACATGTATTTATGTTTTATACTCTTTTGCTTTAACAGGGATAGGTTATTACCAGAACCAGTCATCAGGAATATTGTATATCAAATTCTTCAGGGAATGGCATACATCCACAAAAATGGTGAGCATTTCTCAAATTTTCTATAAGGAACGATGTTGTGTTTCATACCTTAGTCAGGAAATTGATTACTTTGCGTTTTGTTTTGTTTAGAGACACAAGTTTGTACACAGGGAGTCAATGCCCTTGTGGTTCCAAACAGAAGATTTACGTTTATACCATTCAGAACGATCAAAACCATAACAGAAACTTTAAAGGGATCCGGTAACTTTGTCTCAGATTCTGAAACAAAATTCTGGATTTAGCTCATGATGCAATGATAATTATAAACCTTTAGGTCAGTCAGGAACCCCATGACTTTTACAAGCTGATCGCCCGTCTGATTATCAAGATATTTATGATTGGTATTACAAATTTTAAAAACCGTTCGCCGGACGGTTTTCATAACACTACACTCTATTGGGTAAAACGAGTATGGTAAAACCGGTCACTCAAAGATATTTACTTTTTTGAGGCACTTCTTGATCATTTTGAAGCGAGATTTTTTCAGGGCTTCGATATTACACCATATCACAGACACTTATAACAGGTAGGGCCGTGTATCTCAGATTTAACATTGTTAAACGATCCCTTTAAGAGAAGGTGATCAGACCTACATGTACATGTGCATGCCCTAGGCTTCTATTAAGTATAAGATGTATCCATGGTTAAACCATTTCAGGTCAGGATCTATATTTATGGTTGAATCACTCGCAAGTATGACAGTCGTCCATGGATGCGAATGTACATGTAGAGCTTGAAGAAGAAAAACAAAACAAAGGTGAAAAGATGATTAAAAAAAAGAAAGAATAAAGCCGGGCAGCAAACTTGCTCATGGTTGCTAGGCAACCGTATCCGGATGCTATTGAATGGGATGAATAGCCTCATTTCAACCTGGCACAATGGATACATGTAGATCTAATCATTCATTAGTCTATGCGCACAAACCTTTTGAGTCTATGCGTGGGAAATGTAGTGTCTGATTTAAGAGACTATAATGGAGACTGCATGGTTGAGTGCACTGTATAGGCTCTGGACTTTTTACGTCGCCGGTCCTGACAAAGCCAAAGACTGACAGAGCTAGGCTCTGCTCAAGAAATTATGGAATTGTATTTCAGTATCAAATTAGAGTCTGTGCATGCAGACTAATCATTCACTGAGTGTGTCTAGATTGCCAATTAAAATCAATAAGAGATTGGGCTTTGGGGAATTGGATTTTAATGTATTGTGCTTTACACTGTACAAGCTAATTGGTTTGATATCTGTCCATTAGAGCGTATCCTGTTTTAAGCATTTGTGTGCCCAGTTAAACATACATGCAGATTTAAGTTTATATCAGAATGTATTTTCACGCATTCCAATTTTAGAAGCACATGTACATTTTGTACATTCACAAAATTCTTTCAATTTTTTCATAATTTTTGTTCTTCAAATTTTTCAAAGAAAACTCAAAGAATTCCCTCAGACAGAAATGTAAAATTATACAGTGTCTATTTTTCAATCATAAAAAAAACATTTAGCTCTGTAACAAATTATTGTAATGTTCAGTATTAAAGATAATCTTCTATTACATAGTGCAAGAAAAAAAGCAAAACAAAGGTAAAAAGATGATTAAAAAAAGAAAGAAAAAGCCAGGCAGCAAACATGCTCATGGTTGCTAGGCAACTGTATGCGGATGCAAATGAGTGGGATGAATCGACCATACACCTGTACAGCGCTATGCAACTACAGTAATGAGAAACTTTAATATCTACTTACATATTACATGGATGTATTGTACATGTATATTTTCTACTTCAGGTTTCTTCCATCGAGACATGAAGCCAGAGAATCTCTTATGCTGTGGACCAGAACTCATCAAGATCGCTGACTTTGGTCTAGCGAGGGAGACTAGGTCCAGACCTCCATACACAGACTATGTATCAACAAGATGGTAGGAGTTGCTATAATAATAATAATAATAATATTAATAATAGCTCACATTTATGATGCACCTATTACTTTACTATTCCAAAGTGAAATATATGTTGTAGTTATTATTATAATTCTTGTTATTATTGTTCTTATTTTGGATTATTGTTATTATTTAGTAGCAGTAGTAGGAGGAGAAGAAAAGGGAGTACTTATAGTAGTACAAGTAGTAGTTGTTGTAGTATTTATTTGTTTACTTATTTATCATCTATTTATTAATTGATTTTATTGATTTATTCCATTATGATAGGTATCGAGCGCCAGAGGTCCTACTGCGTTCCACCAAGTACAGCTCGCCCATTGACATGTGGGCAGTAGGCTGCATCATGGCTGAGCTCTACACGTTAAGACCTCTATTCCCAGGAAGCAGTGAGGTGGATGAGATCTTCAAGATCACTACTGTCTTGGGTACCCCTAAGAAGGTAGGCAACAACAACCCCAAACAAAACAAAATACTAATGATGATAATAATAATAACACTGATAATGAAAATGATGATGGTTATGGTGATAATGATGGTGATGATGATGAGGATGATGATAAGGAGAAGGAGGATGATGATGATGATGATGATGATGATGATGATGATGATGATGATGTTGATGATGATGTTAACTCTGTCTTGATATTGGACTCTTTATTTTTCAAACTGTCCTTCAATGAACATCGTCCATCTGTAACCATACTCCTTGCCCCTCATTTGATCTCTCCAGGAGGAATGGGTGGAGGGTTTCAGGTTAGCGTCCCAGATGAACTTCAAGTTTCCGCAGTGCGTAGCCATGCCCCTCAAGACGATCATACCCAACGCCAGCCCCGAATCTATTCATCTCATACGCGACATGCTCCTCTGGGATCCACAGAAGAGACCCACTGCAGCACAGGTAAGTCTTCTCCCGTCTTGTCTTGTCTAGCTCAAGGGCCTTTGTATTGATGATGCAGCAAAGTACTTCGAACAAAATTCCACCTCGAAAAAGGAGCAATTGTGTGTAATATGTTTTTCTCTCTAATGTGATTGTTTAGTGTGGTCAAACAAATATTGATTGTCATTCAATTCCATTAAAGAGTGGACAAGATCTTTAATCAAACCTGAATGAGAGGGTTGCTGTAACATCCATATCTAATGTGCATCTGTACATCTGAGCCCCATCCAATAAAGAGTTTTGATGGATCTGAATCAATCGAAAGTCCTCCAACCAATTGCATGTTTGCAGTCCCCCCCATCTCTTATATACATAGTTGCGATTGATATCACATGCAAATAAATTGCGAATAATGGCAACTGTTCATAATACTGGACCCTGATCTACATCTAATCTAAGGTATGTTGGCACTTCCACCCTTTGATGCTGTAATGCTGATATACTCTTCATTGTGTTTGCTTTCTCAGTGTCTTAAATACAAGTACTTTCAAGTCGGCCAGAACCTGGGTGCCAAAGCGCAGCCCCCCGCTCAGCAACACCAGCAGAACCAAATGGCTCAAAGGCAGGCACCCAACCAGAACTCGGCAAAGAGGAGAGTCCTTGCAGAACGCGAACCTGCGCCGAGCCCTCTCTCAAAAGTACAACCCAAGAGGGACAATGCCCAGCCTAAGGACAGTATGGATGATTTTTTTGCCAATCTGGGCAAGTCGAAAGACGTGGAACCCTCAAAGCCTGTCCAGGAGAAGGCTCCGAACGCTGGAAACAAGAGTGGGAGGAGAAAATGGGAGACGGGGAAGAAAGTGGAAGACAGTTGGGATGATTTTGACTTGGAAGGAAGTCGAGGGTTCGGTGGTACCAGTGCCAAGACGAAGAAGATCGGAGGAATGAAAGGCAAGGCGTTGCCTACAATCGGAGCGGGAAATGCAGTTGGGAAGAAGGCCTCGTTGGATTGGGAAGACGATGATGACTTTTTGAAGTGAGTAGAAAGGATTGTTTTATCGTTATTATATTGTATTTGTATCCATTGTAAAATGTTGTATGGTATTACTATGCAAAGTCTAATCCCCTTCAGTACAGTCCCATTAACTTTCAGAATTTCTTGAAGGGATTAATGCTTTTAGATATATTTTTTTTAAATGATTGAATTTAGAACATATTTTGACTTACACTGTACATGTATATACATGTACATGTAAAGATTAAAATTCTTTTTTTCCCTTTTTTGAGGGGGGGGGGGGGGGGAGGGGGAAGGGGGTTCTTTTCAGGAGTCAATTGGTCATGGTGGTGATAAATGTTAGCATATATCTGGGTGGTTTTGTGACTTAACAATGTAAATTATCCTGGCTTTCTATGTGACATTCTATTAATTTTCATATCGGTTGCAAACAATTTCTTCACTGGAATCAAGATATGATAATTCTCACCCTCTTTCTCAACCTAATTAAACAAAAAATCTGACCCATCTTTTCTTGCTTTGTTGTCCTATCCCTTTAGGAGTCCAACTAAGCACAGAGTAGGCCCTCTATCGACAAGAAACCAACCTGGAGTGGCTAGGGTGGGACTAGAGTCTGGAAAATCATCTGCTTCATCAGCTAAACAGTTCTACATGGGCAAGGCCAGATATCTACCAGGTAAAAGATCTCTAGTTGTTACTGTACTTTATTATGCCACTCTCCATCCAGGTCTACCAAATGGGTACATGGTAGGAAGTTAGTCCTCTAATGCTTTCTGCACCTTACACCAGCTTGGCTCAATCCATGGTAGTCATAATTTGTAGGTGCGTTTAAATGAAAAAATACTACCATTTTCTTTGTAAAAATGAAACAGGTACCCTCATTATAAATTTCATTCCATTGGGATAAGTAAATACCCCTTTCACAATGCAACAAGTTACTTTTGAAGGTTTAATTATGACAATTGTTCGAAAACCTGCAGGAACAGACGTTTTCACTAAAACATAATTTCATGAAGCTGTGAGCTTTGCCTGCCTTTGTCAGTGTTTGGCTGCTTCGCCGCTCTAGAACAGGGCCTGCAGACTCTAGTCTACTTTAGTTTATGTAGTCTATTTACACAGGTTTGTGCCTGCAAATCCAATTGAATTGAATTGAAATGTTATTTATTATAAAATCCACATGGGAGCCCAAGGGTAGAATTGAATGGAGTTTACAGAGTAAAAATCTAAAAATAATGTATACAACTTACAAGTATCATAGTAATACAAAAATATGAAGGAGAGAAAGAGAGAGACGAGACTGGAAAAACGCCGGTATCGAGGCAGAGTTGATACAGTCTAATAATAATAATATTGGATTCTTATATAATGCACATATCGACCTTGCAAGGTCCTCAAGGCGCTCCAACATTACCCGGCTATGCTAGGCTGCCGATTTCGACGCTCACAGCATTTTAAGGAATTCCTTCCTACCGGTATTCATTTAACACCTGGGTGGAGAGTGGCAAGTGTAGATTAATGTCTTGCCTAAGGACATTAGTGCCGCGGCGGGACTCAAAGAATAAGAAAAGATTGTAAATTCCATAATAAGTGAGTTGATTGATTAACTAAATGATCATCTGTTATGCCACTTGATACACTCTAAATTTAGGATGACAGAAATGACACAGAACAATGGAAAAATCAAATGAACTTTTGCATAATTCATGTCATATTATTTTCTTTGTCAGGTATGAACGTGAAGAGCCCCAGGAAGGATTCGGGCCATGGTTTACCTGCACTTAATAAAGTACCGTCAGGCAGTGCACATAGAAGTAACATATTAGGTGAGTCAAATAAAGGACCCCGTGGAAGACAGATTACCTGTATCTTGTATCCTTGTATCCTGTATGTAGACTTCAGTATCCTCTACAATAGGCACTGTATAAATCCAGTTACTATTATCGTTGTCGTTGTTATCATTATTTTTATCATTACTATTATCATCATCATTATCACTATCACATATAATCTAAAATCATTATTATTATTACTATTATTGTTATTTTCTTCTGTCCATTCCAGGATCAAATTACGCAAGAAGAACGGAGAACAACTACGGAAATGGTGGAGGAAACGGTGGAGGAGGAAACTATATGCCATCATTTTCCGCTAAACAAGACAGCTCTGCTAGAATAGGGGGCTACAATGGTGAGACTAAATTCCCTTTCTTTCCACACGCTTATGTGTGTGTGTTAAAGGCCATCTGTACTAGTTTGGCCAGGAGGGATTAGACCACCCAGGGTGGTCGCTGACAGGATGCTATCTCATCAAATCATCTCTCGATTAACATAAGAAAAAGAGGATCATGGGGGACCAATGTTTCACTGATTAGGCATTGTGTTCTATATCGAGGGAGCAAGTAGCTACAAGTAGTATTGTGGGGCGTTAAATATGCAAGTCCCAGTTTATCCTGGGGGGGGGGGGGGGGGGGGGGGAGCATTATCATTTCACCGAAGAGATCATAACTCAATTCTGTTGTTGTTCTTGGTGTCGGGGGGGGGGGGGGGGGGGGGGGTGTCACCTTGGAAATGCAGTCTCCCAAGAAATAACACTTATCTATATTTACTTATTTATGCATATGTAACTTTTTGATCGTTTCTTTGTTATTATGACATTTATCCAATAAAGTAGCCTGTGAAGGTCTAAATATTGTTCTTTTTAATTGAGGAATGAAATCTATACTTGTATATTTTTGCAATTCAGCAAATCCAGCAATGAAAAATTATTCTTGAAGGCTTTTGATTAGTGCTTGCACTGTGGATTAGTTGTATCCACGTGTCATTTTATTGTGTATTTCTATATCTTTTTATACTCTTATCAGAACCATGGAAGACAACAACAAAAGCAGGTGTAACAAATACCTTTGGAGCTGCCAGGAACAACGGATTACGAGCGCAGCCGGTCCATGGCCGAACAGATTGGGCGTCCAAGTGAGTGCTTCTCATAATAGTACTTTACAATAGTTAAGATTAAGCCCTTGCTTACGGGAACCAGTCGGTCCCTGTATTCAGCCTATAGAAATTGCCCAACATCATTCGCTGACACCAGACGCAGTTGAATGACCAATGTGTACAGGTCTCCCAGGCAGCAAAACAGTATGCTTACCAGAAATGAACTCCAGCTTGCCTTCAAATTTGGAATGCCTGGAAAAAATATGATGCTGGTATTTTTTTAAAGGTAAAGACCAGTATTGGAAACGCCCCAATTTCAAAAAATGAAATGGAAGCTCTTATTACCAATCATGTGAAAGAATATGTTTTGACTAATACATGATGATAACAATTTTGCCGGGAAACCGCCTACTGATTGATATATTTGGTAAATTAGTTTATCTATTGGACTGTGAGAGATAAACGCATGTGTCTCGCACGTGTGCGTATAGTCCCATATACATGTACATATTTCTGTGTACAGTGCTTGTAACTTTACGAAGACTGGGTCAAATTTCTTATCATTTTGATGATTCCAGAACCTTGCAGTACACACCAATCCTTATATGCTAGATGATCAACCTTTTCTGATCGATTCCACAACGTTTCTTTCACAATGCAATCGCATGACCAGAACTGGTCTTTATCTTTAAGAGGCATTAGGTGGAGGGTGCATTGCATTATATAAGAGCCATCAGTGGTAAAAATGAAATCTACTCATGATGTACAGTTGCCAACCATTCCTATTTTGGAGGAAGGATTCCTATTTTTGGCTGTCCAACTGATAAAATGAACGCTAGAATCTTCTTTATTTCTGAAAACTCCTGTGTTAAAAGTATATAAAGTAGAATCTATTTCTAATGTTGTCTTGAGAGATCCCTGCTTTCTGCCGTTAAATGCTGGCCGGTATGTTGATGATTGACAACACTGACTTCTAATTGAGGTGAAAAACCTGAATGGTGTCGAAATCCCCATGAGGACCCACTACCATGAGTCTTTGAAGATGAATAGATTAATTCTAACCTATTCTCTCTCTCTCTCTCTCTCTCTCTCTCTCTCTCTCTCCTTACAGGTACGGTGGAGTGCGGTAGTATCAGCTGAACTTTGATCCAAAACAGTGCAATCACCAGAGGTTTATAGAACAAGCTCCCGTATCTTAAGCTCATATCAACTTTTGTAGGACGGCAGAGGCCTTCATGGATTAACAGAAATCAAATCAATCGGATTGGCTAACTAATGTTTATAAGAACAGCATCTGAGAAATTGGAGGAAATTGGGTTTCTAATTTGTAGTGCTTATTGAAATGTTCTTGAGCCCACTCTTACTAATTTATGTATTCATGAATGTCATGAATATTCATAATGTCATGGTGTGTTATGAATATCCATCGTAAAATCATGAAGCTTTCATAGCCTGACAATCCACTCCTTGCACTGAATTTCTGCATTCGAGTTAGATCTCACAGTATTTGAACGTGTTTCTTTTTAACATCACCTTGACTTATGTTTTAATTACATGCAAAGCAACAGCTGCGATCTGTTTTATTTGTCTAGTTCTCAATGAAGCAATGTAAACTTTGATCTGTACAGTTGTTGTCTATAAATTGGTTGCCTATCATGGACATGGGAATATTGTTTTGTATGTATAGTCATGATAGGAGTCTCAGTAATTAATGGATTGTTGCATCATGTGACGATGATGCATTTGTCGTATATATACTTTTTGTAAATATGTATGTAATATCTGTTTAAGCTAATTTTAACAATCAGAGCAATTTAAAAAAAGTAACATTTTTGCCCTAAATTGGTCACATGAGTTGAGCTTTGGAGGTAGATCTGGTTTTTAAATTTTGAAGCAAAATATAACATTACATTATCGCTGCTTTTGGTAATTTTCAATTGAAAAATAAAAGAATTGAGTCGATAAATAGTTACATACATTAAAAGCATTGCAACTGTTTAAACTTTTATGTGAAATAACAGTTTTTCAGTCAATACCAGCTTAAAAGTGGTCAATATTTTTTTTTTTTAACTATAAGTTAATGCTGAAATAAAAGATTTTATCATATTTACTTTTTGTAATTTTGATTGAAATCAGAAGATTTTAATCCTGTAATCAGTATTTTAACTGAAATGGTGAATTATACAAAAGCATTGTTCCTATTGTGAATATGTATGTCTTAATTGCTATTGCCTTATTAAACTCTAAGAGTGCATGATTAGGTGCTTTATTTTCTACAGCCCTTGAAACCGGAGCTTTGTCGAGTGTAAACCAAACGGTTCGGTCTCGTATCCTTTTGGCGCTGCAAAGAAAGTTAGCCAACGGTTCTATTTCAGCTTTCCCTTGTTTTTCTAGTCATCTGCAGTCTTTTTAGTGTTGAAGATGAGGAGCCATTGCTTGTGCGCTTTTAAAGGTACTGTAAGAAAAAAAAAAAGAAAAGAAGAAAAAAAAAACAGCCACAAAATATTACATTTCAATGCCAATAGCCTCCTAGAAGAACAAATAATTTATTCGCTATTCTCATGATAACACAGATCTTTTTAAGGACCTCTTGCTGTATTTAATACGAGGCTTTCACCCGTATAGTATTTTGTATAAAAATGTTCATCACCTTGTTCAAACGTTTACCAAAGCTGTAAATCTCAAAATGTTTTAGTGATGTGTGTTGGTAAATGATTTTATGTTCATGTCAAGTCTGTAAATGAAATGTCAGAAATTTGTTGAAAGGTGTTCAACAAATTGCACAGCCATTAGATTGCTTTCAAGAGATATCTATGGTGTGATATAATTGAAATATATTTCACAAGCGATTTGGCACTGTAATCTAAAAAAGCAATACTTTTCACTCATGGGTCTCGCATATTTCATTGGAAATCCAGATTTTGATTCAGAATATTAGTACCGGTATGTAAAGATTATGCTCGGCATGTCTTGAAATTACTGTTCCTTCACATCAACTGATTGCATTCAAAGTCAAGAAACAAGGGAATTCTGAACTTGCAATCAAACAATAATGTCATTTGACCAATCAGAATGAAGTATTCTTCTGATGTCATCAATTGGTGGAATTTGATTGGCTGATTTTCAGAAATTAGATTTCATTGCACTTCTCCAATCAATCACATCTTTCCTATTAGCCAATCAGAATCAAGGATTCTGTTTTACATTAAGACAATGTGGATTCTGATTGGATAATGGTCAGAAAGTATTTGATTGCATGTGAAATAAACCAAGTATCATGTGTTTGGTATTTCTGATTTTCTGGTCGATGTTGTACTGTCACTGTCTGGTATTTAGCGGCAAACTCTGAAAATATGAAACAATTATATTCACAGCCTTTATAAATTACCTCCGGAATGAAATGTACATACAGCTTTTTTTAGATGGTCGACTTACGCTTTCTTGCTTTTATATATATATATATGTCGGTTAAATGCCTTCTCTTCCATCAATCGAATGTCTGTGAATGTAACTAGTTGTTTTCTCTTCCATTCTTATCATCAGTCTTCTTGTTAAGTATTACATGTTCTGACAGTTGAAAGAATATATGTTTTCCGCTTTGGTGCGAGAAGGATGATAAAGGGCTATGTAAATGGCCTTCTACCGCTGAACAGAAAAATTAGCACGTACTAGTTTTGTGATTCTGTGGTATGTTTTGTGCCTGGCAATAGGGTGGTAGTACAGAATAACCAAAACATTCTCAGAGATGAAACAATAATTCGTTTTTTTTTGTAGTTAGAATGGTGTTGACTTGTATACTGTAACACAATCCAATTAAATCCTGTATCATGGTGTCTCATCAAAGGCGCTGACGGGACTAAAAAATTACCTAAATATCTGGTCATGATTCACCTTGGGAGTAATAGGTGGTGACTGGTTGTAAGCAATGTGGAATAGGTATGTCTTTAGTTGGGTTTGAAAGTAGAAAGCAGAAACCCGTTTCACAAAGCCTTTTTTCAATGACAAATGACAAAATTCAGTGACAAATCTGCTGATAACCAATCAGAAGCGAGGATTTCAGTAGCTTCAACAAAAACTGCCGTTTGTCACCGATGACAAGTTCTGTGAAATGCCCCCAGGTCACAAGAGTAAAGAGACTGAAGAAGACTGTTCCTCAACCTGGGTGCTGAAGCAGTTAATGATCTATCACTCAGCGGGGAACATGTACGAGGGCTCTAAAGCTGATATTTACCTGCTGATCGTAAATTTACTTGAGGATTATAAAGGTTCAGCGAGTCTAAAGTGTACAGAGAGTTAATGCCCTTCTGGCTCTTAAAGGTAATACAAAGTTTTGGTATGGGGTCATGAATTTGGTTCAAATGAACATATTGGAAGCATATACGATCCTACAATATTCAGTGATCGTTGTCGCGGTCGAAATCGACTCTAAAGTTATGAAATTGTAAATAAAAAACACTTCATGTTGAATAGCTCCCTCTCAAGGTCAAGATATTAATTAAGCTATAAAACAATGTTTATTGACTAAAATCGACCGATTAGCTATTCTCGTTCGGAAATTATATACCACAACTACATACTCTGAGATTTTCATGATCGCAGCTACCATTGTACGGCCATAGGAGCTATTTGAAATTTATCAAAATTTACCGGGATCACCGGTAAATCTTTATATTCAATTCTTCTCGAAAGCAGAAGTGGTTTAGGGGCTAAAATTTCTGGTGTTTTTAATACATCCACAGGGGCATCCAAATATATCAAAATTGTAAAGAATCACTATCCACCCATTTTTCAAAATTTCCCAAAACTTTGTAATACCTTTAACAGATTCATTATCGGTGAGCATGATATTAGTTAGGTGATTCAGTAGTATATTGCGTTTGTTGCCGAAGGGTATTAATACAGAATAACAAGCTAACATCAGTCTTGTTTGTATGCCCTTTGTGTTCTAAATGAAACAGAATATAAATGAACTTGATGTTGGTCTGGTTATTGAGAAGAGAGTGAGTTAAAGGTAAAGACCAGTATTGGAAACGCCCCAATTTAAAAAAATGAAATGGAAGCTCTCATTACCAATCATGTGAAAGAATATGTTTTGACTAATACATGATGATAAGAAATTTGCCGGGAAACCGCCTACTAATTCATATATTTGGTAAATTTGTTTCTCGCATGGTCTGTGAGAGATATAGGGTAGTCCCATATACATCTTTCTGTGTATAGTGCTTGTAACTTTACGAAGAATGGGCCAAATTTCTTATCATTTTGACGATTCCAGAACCTTGCAGATGCTAGATGCTAGATGATCAACCTTTTCTGATCGATTCCACAACGTTTCTTTCACAATGCAATCGCATGACCATAACTGGTCTTTACCTTTAACACCCTTCTGGCTCCAAACAGTAGAGATACAAGTAGGCGAGTTGCCTTGAAAATGCTTGACTTCTCGCTCATCTTATTCTGATGTTTCTTCAAGACACCCTTTTATTTTCTAACTGTAAACTTTTTTTTTGAATGTTTGTTCTGCAGTGTTGTGAAGTAAATCTTTAAATTCCATCAATGTCCTTTTCAGAAAGTCAGATCAAGTCATTCAATTTAGAAATAGCAATACTTGAAATTTCTTTCATTTTGTAGCATTGTCATTGTATGTTCTCTATATCTCTGTCCCACCACAGGCATGCGTGTACATATGTGAAGTTAAGTATTGCGAAGAAAGAAAAAGTATGAAGATTGTGATGATTTATAGCTGTCTTAGATTTGATTGTAATTATTTTGGTTGGAGCAGATAAAACAGGGTTTTTATCAAGAGATGCCACTTGAAGTGACAAATATCTACCGAGTAGAGAAACGGCATATACCCTCTTTGAAAGTGACGAAACTCGTGTGGCGTCATACACATTACAACAAATGTAAAACGTTTGAGAAATTAAGCAACTGCAAGTTGAGAGTGCGCATAAAAATAATTATGTAATTATGTAATTATGAGGTGTCATTTATTAATGGGGAACATAAGTCTTGTTTTGCTTTGGTCAATTCTTTACCCATCTTTTAATATCAATTCAACATTTCTGAACTTTTTTTAGATCTGGTTCTGAGACATCTTTCAATGTATTGTGTATTCTTTCGCATTATGTATTCAGATACTGAAATGTGTAGATCTGGTAAATCTCAAGAATATCTGCACAAGCAATATATGGAAATGGTAAAAGCATGTAATCTGGAAGGGATAATAAATACATCCAAATAACTTGTGTGTGTCTTACAGGTAGTATACAGTTGGGGGAAGTGGTACATTTGACATGTATTGCATTGTAAATGAGATTGTATTATAAGATATGATTTGATATCATGTACATTGCAAATTGTATAATAATGAATTTAATAAATTCTTAGATTCTCAAATGAAAGTAATATGCTGGTGGAATGCTTTACTTTTTGTATTGTGGAGGAAAACGTCCAAATAGTATTAACATGGGGAAAAATCATGCAGTAAAGAGAGAGAGTGAGAAAGAGAGAGGCAGAGAGAAAGGGGACAGAAGGAGGGAGAGATAGATGGAGGGGGTGGGCTAGAGAGAGAAAGAAAGAGAGAGAGAGAGAGCGAGAGAAAATATTTATGTTGAGGGTGGAGGAAAACTATAGAGTATAGACTGATGAAGAATTGGATGATGAGGATATTGGTGGTAATTGTGATGATATTGATCGATGTGATGAAAAAACAGAACCTGAATAGCGCCACCCTGTATTACAATGTAGAAAGGGCAAATAGAGAAATCGCATCAAGGAGTTACAGAAGGCCTATGTTCGTTAGAAAACAAGCCCTCAAATAAATACAATCATATCATATTGTCAAAATACATCGTGAAAAAAAAATTATCCTTCAATATGGTACCACAACTTCGGTAATGGAATCTGGGGTTTTAGTGTGTTGGTGGCGATCACTTAATTTTACTATTATTACCAACAAATAGGCCTATTCGAATTCATTTACATAGATTGAAATCATATTTTTTAGATAATTTACTTTCTGTAGACATATTTCTTTTCCGTTTTTAAATAAATAAATATATAAAATCATCTTAGTGTCAATTTTACCAAGATGTCCACGTGCTTTTAAAACATATAAAAACTGAAGAAATACTATAATAAAGTTGAGTTGCAATATTATTTCATTTTGTCATATTGGCTCTCGGATCGAAGGCCATTGATTGAGAAAACTTCCACTGCGGTTAAAGGAAATAACACATCCTTACGACAATAAAAACAAGTCCTGAATAACAATGACTGATAAACCACGACAAGTACTAATATAGTACACTCAATTGCCACGACACAGTGTGAAATATGTGGGCGTATAGGTCTATAGAGCATGCACGTCAAGTGTGATGACACTATGAACATGACAGACAATGAAAGCGGACAAAATATACAGTTCCTCAGGTAGACAAAGGAACATCCCTTCACTGCTATTATGTAAAAATGTGTAGAACAGGTGAATATGCATGTGACACCTGTTCTACAGGTTTTTACATAATAGCGGTGAAGGGATGTCCCTTTGTCTACCTGAGGAACTGTATATTTTGTCCGCTTTCATTGTCTGTCATGTTCATAGTGTGAGATCATCCGCGTGCCAACTTAAAAACAGGGGAATACCCTGTCTGAAGAAATCAACGCAAGGTCAAAGGGATTGACCTATGCGGGAACATCTGGTGCTAGTTTTCCTTACAAACTGTCTTGTTAAAATGATACGTCTGACAGTGAAGTCTAGCAAATAAACGGGTTTCCTTGCATAATTTGAATATTAGGACACTGCTAACGTTTAAATTTCACAGATTGGACATACATGACATATTCATGGTTCCTGCAGAATTCTACAGAATCTGGTGTTGGCTGCAAAAGGGACATAGTATCTTTAAAGACGGTTTCGAGATCGAACCTTTCCACTGTTTAAAAAAAATAATTATCACATCAAATTCAAAATCTGAAAAGCTGTCATACAGTCATTATTGTGTACCATTGAACTAAAAATGTATAATTTAGCCTTGAACTATCGGAACTCTGTTTCACTAACATCTTAATTTTTATTTTCTTTTTAATTCAAATAATTATTTAAGCCATGTCGATTGATTTTGTAGCTCCATGAAGTTTAAACCAATGAATAATAGGTACTAGTTTACCATGATCTATGTCATGAAAATTCTTAATAGACAGAAAATTAATGAGCGCTTTCCTATTTTGCATGTACGTTATATTTTGAATAATAAAATTATTGTTGCTTATTGTAACCTCTTTAATAATTATTTGTGTATGTCACACGACTTTAGGTAAAAATATATATCATAAAATCGAATCTAGTCGAAAAAAACAACATATTAAGCAATCCTCATGATTACATTTCAAATAGTGACCATGATTTTGGCTCAATCCATTCAATCACTATTTGAAGTGTAGTATGACCATCTTGACATACATGTACATGTAAAAACAAAGTTTCTTATCGCACAACCACTATATCTAAGCTCTATTTCAAGGAGAAGAATAACTGGTGAACAGTTTTTCCAACATTTTTCTTCTAAAATGAAGGCTAATATAAAAGAAAATGAAATTGTTTGTATTTTTGTTGTTGCTAAAGCGACCGGCGTTTAATGATTTTGTGTTCAGATACAAGTTTCTGAAGTAGGCATATTATTGTGCAACACCGGAGGTAAGAAGAGAGCGGGAAAGAGATATCATGCGTTGTTTATTTTGGCACTGGTCCAATTTTATAGGGGAAAAATGGTATGACATTTCTACGGAAGCGTTAAAGTGCCATTCTACTTGACGACATGACGAGATATTTCATCTTGTCAAGT